GAAAATTAATTAAAATATATTTGTATATATACAAACTAGATCGGATATCTCACATAAATTTTTTTTTTTTAAAAAAACTTCCTGTCTATGAAATCAAATGTCAAGGTCTATGGCATCATGGCGATACACGCAGCTCAGGGCCAGAAAAACATCACCAGAAAAAACTGATTATTGCATGACGGGAAATAGTGTTTTTTTTTTGGTAACTGTGCTTTGGTCCCTTCAAAGTTGTTTGGTCAAGAAAATAACTAGTACCAAAATTAGCTGAGGTGGTCACGTTATGACAGAAGTTTGATTTTGCATTCACATTTGTAGAAAACGCAAATAAATGAATAACATTGATTAGGTTACTTTTGTCCTGAAAAGCCCTAGCTAGTCCCTGATTGGATTAACATCCTAACATCTACAGGAGATTATTAGTTGAGAAACAAGTAGATAGACTTATCACCTAGGCCAAAAACGAACGCCTATTACCCAGTGAAACGTGCTGAACGACAACAAAGAATGCGTATAGCCCCCAATAATAGCAGTTGTTCAATACGCTGCTATCTATCATCTAGTTTGCCTTGTCATGTAAAATCCTAACGGTGACGAGCCTCGAGGTTGTTGCGTACATTTCCCAACTCTCATCCAATAAACATAGCTGAAACAAGGTTCCCGAAACCTACTTAATGTCACATGCGTGAGAAAGCAAAACCAAATCAAAGGGTATTCTGTGTACAAAAATATTACTTCTCCAACATAAACATGCATTTTTCAACCAAATTCAGAGTCAGGGCAAACAAATATTATTTACATAACCATATTAACAGTCAACCTGCTGTAGAGTCCCCTACCTAGGCAAACACCACTTCGTACACATTTTCTATGAACAATGATAAGAGAAAGCTCACTTACACAACCGTAGCTTTTCCAACCTCACGACAGTGAACCTTCCAAAACACAATGCCAGCATCATCAGCCTTCTTAGTGTCAATAGCAATAGCCCCAAATAACGCCCTGAAAGCACTGCAAACCACTGAGGGAGTCGTCGAATTAGTTTTGGGAGAAACTCTAACGACATTGTGCAAACCCAATCTCATCCCATCAACAGCACATGACAGCACATGAAGTGTCCACTTTAGCGTTATCTGCTATCCGGCGGTTAAGGTCTTTCGAGGAGATCTCAGCGTCCTTTCCAAGGTTACATATAGACAGATGTGTCAATCACATTTGATCCCAGAATGCTCAACGCCTTATTGTTCTCCTCGGAGAATGATGAGTGTGTCATTGATCGGCGAAGATAACCAATGTTCTTGAAGGCATAGCTGCAAATTTAAGAAGCAAAGCAATGATAAATCTTTTGGTCCACCGGGAAATAAGATACATTCAATCAATAAGATAAAAATGAAAAATGTATAACACTATGGCTACTAGCTATACATTTAGCACAAGCTATGGCTTTTTTTTTCCTGACTTAATCCTTCGGGTCCAATACAATAGCAAATATATTTCATTTGAAGATCCCAATTTTACAGTTGACCAAATACAGTTCTATGATAGAGAAGGCAAAAAGGAAAGGGAACCCAAAAAACTTACCCGATCTGACTCTGCAGCGTGTCCAGTGCCGACTCAAATGGCGATAATTTGAGCTTGTTTGCAGCTCCAACCTGCATAGTAAATGACATCTTTCCAGTTTCATTCCTTCTCTTCTACATTATAACAGCAGAAACCAAGCAAAACATTTTGGGGTTTCTAACAATAGGGGTTCGCCCAAATAAATATACCTGTGAGAGGGAGAAGATGAAAAAGACGGCTAGCGCACAGACAGTGATGCGAGAAGAAGCCATTGTTTACTTTTGCGGTCTCTTGAGGCTGGTTGTTTTAAGACTTCGCTCTAGGGCTAATGGTTGACCTGGGATGTCAGATGTCAGATTGTTGTCTATGGGCCCTTTCTAATGTCTTGGTATGACCTTTACGTGGCCCATTATAAATAGTCAACAGTTAGTGAAATCCTAGGATGCCTAGAAAAATGCAAATCCAAAATGAGTGAAGAATGCCACGCGCCATGCAACTACCGTTTTTTCAAATCCCTGCAAATAAATCATGTTTTATATTTCATTATTAATCTTCAATAAAATGTTCTAAATAAGGTGAGAGAAAATAAATTCTAAGGAACCTAAATAGAGTGTTTCTTATAATATGCACGTTTTGAGTGGTGATTTCTTTTTTCTTTTTTGTCAAGATTAATAGCCAATAACTTTTGATTTATTAAAAAAAGCAAACAAAGAACTAGGGTGAGAAAAATGGGAAACTAGGTGGTGATTCTAAAATTGATGCATAAAATTTACTTTGCTTCCTTACTTTTCGATTGATACATGGGCCCTTTTAGTTTTTAAATATTTGATTTTAATATAAAATTTTGTTATTTTCTTCCAAGTTTCTAGTTTAGAGAAAGATTCTAATTAAAGAGAAAAATTATCAATTAGCATTAATTTCAACTATGAAAAAAATTATTATATATAGATTTTATTTGATAAGATGAGTTTTAATAAAATATTTTTTATTTTTATTTTACCTGAAAAAATAGATTTGAGCTCAAAAGTTATTTAGGTTTAATCTTAGTCCTTTAACCTATTTTTTGGTTCTTCAAAGCCATGCATGAGTTTATTTAGGTTTCTAAGATGACTTTTAAGTGTTTTTCAAGAAAAATAATAATTGAAAAATAGATTTTTGAATCTAAAAATACCTACCCGAGGATTGTGTTTTTTTTTTAATTTTATTTTTCAATGTTTAATTTTTCTTAATTTATTTTATGAACTTTTTATTTTTTTAATTTTATAATTTTACATTTGATTAATTTTTAATCTATCTTTATAATCTATTTTGATTTAATTTTATTAAATTTATTTTTATATAACTAAATAAAAGATGATTTTAATAACCCTTAACTTTTTTTGTTAAATATTTTTTAATTTTACATTTTAATATTAATATAAATTTCAAGTTATAAATTTAATATATTAACGCAACTGCATTAATATTTATAAAAGATCTTGTAAAATACAGATTATGAATTCATAATCATTTTTTTACCTAAATCATGTACATTGAATGTTAAATTTTAATTTAACAGTTCAGACTTAACAGAACATGATGGCACATAATAAGAAGAAAAAAACATTAAAGAATCTCCTTGCTGAAAACAAGATAGACAAGTATGGCCTCCTAAAGAATGCCTTTCTTATATAATAAAAAAACATGTATACAAAAAACCTAAATAGTTCTCTTATCAGTAAACACTACGTATGATGATGAACATCTGAACCTGTGAACTACACAGTATCTACACCCCCACCCCCCCAGCCCTCATTTCCCTGCATTTTTTAGGGTAAAAAAGATAAAATGTATTAGTCATGCTTGATTGAGACCACAAATTCTTCATCATCCCATCTTGCATCATGCAAAGCACCAGCATCGATCCCCACACAGCATGCAACAGATGAGTTAATATCAGAAACCAGCTTCCGGCGAAACCTACTGTATAGAAACTAAGGATTATCAAAACAAGCACCCTTCTTGCACCCAACCATACAGACACCAAGGTGCTTGTTCAGCCTGTGTCATTGCATGGAAAGGGAAGAATCACGGTTCCTTCCGTACAACATTATCGAAAGAAACTTGTGTTTCTGTGTTACTCAAGTTTGATCTTGAAGCATCAGCCAAGCATTGAAGCAAAGCTAATACATCAACAGTATCATCTAGATAGTATCTAGCTTTGCTTGGCTTTTGGCCAACAGTGCATGCAAAGATCGCTGGAGCTGAAGGGAGTGATGAGCTATATGGTGTTTTTGATATGCTTTCAAACATGTCTTCATCAGATCTGTCATCCCCGATGCACAACACAAAGCCAGGGGGTTTCCCACTAGCAATCATTTTGGAAAGAACCTTCTCTGCAACATACCCTTTAGTTACTCCCTGCACATTTTTAAGGTCAATGTTAGACCACTTTCAAAACCAAAAAGGAAAAAAAATCAGAAACAAACCATAAACAAAAAGCACGCATACCTGTGGTTTTACTTCAACAATATTCTGGCCCCTCTTAACAGCTACTGGATCATTTGCAAGGACATTTTCCAGATGATCTAACAGTTCCTTGGCCTGGCAAGATCCAAAATCTGGATCAGCATCCTGGTGGTGCCATACCATGGCACTCTCCTTAACCTCTATATAGGAACCATCAGTTGCCTCTGTATACAATTTCATGACAGGTTCGGCAATATTTTTCCAATCAAAATCCACAGCCAAAAAACTTGTTTCCCAGTCAGACATCCCACTCCACCTACGAGAAGAAAAGGCAACATCTTACAAAAAGGGATCCTACCAAATTAATAGAAAACCACTAGCTTCATTTACTAATATTGCAGCCACCTAAGAAGTGGAGAAGTTAACTTTCCTTGAATGACTCCTGTGTTTGAACCTTACAGGCTCCATTTAATAGACAAAAAGTTATCCTTGCTAGCAAAATTAGTAAGCTAGACATTCAATGTTTTAATAACTATTAAAATACCTCAAGAAGTATCCATGCTCAGCTGCTATACCCAGATTTTCACATTGAACAAACCAATCACTCAGGGACTTTTTTCCTCTGCCACTAACTATAAACACACTGTTCATGGGATCAGCGCAAAGATTGTTTAGAATAGAGATGACTTCAGGAGTGGGGGTTTTAGCAAGAGAAGTATGAGGCACCATTGTTCCATCATAGTCCAAGAATATTGCCCTTTTAGATGTCCTCTTGTATGCTGAGATAATATAGTCAATGGAAAGTTTCCTAAAGCT